CAGACATGGATCTGGCACTGGAGAAGGAGCCCGAATGAGAGCTTTTCCCCGAACTCTTTGTCTGTTCTGTTTAATGAGAGTTTGGCATTGTGAAAGCTATTTTCATTCTGCCTTTGTTAGAGAACTTCTTTAGTGGTGGGACCAGTTGAGTCTTTGCACTTCTTGTTTGGGTTATGGTCGTACAGAACAGTTTAGCGAGTGTCTCTTCAAGATGAGTCATGGTTTGCTTCATCTGTTCGCTTGCCATTATTGATGTAGTGGTCGAAAATTGAGGCTTCTAAGATCAAAAGATGAGAGGACAAGAAGGTCCCACTAGGCGTGCCAAGAAATTTGTACGACGAATTTTGTGTATTAAAATACAGAAATCGTTACAAATTGTATTTTTTGAGAAATACAAATGGATATAAATCTTCTTGTAATTGCAAAATCCTTTGATTAATGATCTGAATGTTTGAAAACGAGGAGCCTCGTGGATTGTATCCTAGGCTTCAAGATTTGTTGAGAATGTGATTTGTTGAGAACTTGACTTGTTCGACACTTGAATTTCGGAGCTTGAATTTGCACTTCAAAACTTAAACTTGTTCAAATAAGACTTTGATCTTCTTAAGTTTGCTTGATTTGAAGATTTTGATCTTTTTCGTGTTCGTTGGACTTGGAGTTGAGAGGATTTCTTCTCTTCCTCCAGTTTTGGAATTTCTTCAATATTTCGTGATTTTCTTCTGCATTTTCACCCTTTCTTTTTCTTCTTCCCTTTGTAACGGACCATTGATCCTATTTATAGGGGAAATTTGTAACCAATTTTGGTAATCACTCAATTAATTCAATTAAATTGATTATAACTGAATAATTGTGAATTTTGAAAGAGTAAGATGTGCTTTTAAAATTTTATGAGCCTTAGTAGGCTTTAATTTAGTAAACTTAATTGAGCTAGTTATTTAAATTGACCCAACCTATTATTTATTTTGTTATTTTTTTATGTCTACAGTAGTGTAGCTTGCTAACAACATCGCTGATACGCATTCTTTCTCTTGCCATGTCAACAGAACACATCAATCCTATTTCGAATACAGAAATCAGGCACCCGTCATTTCGTGGATCCTTTGATTTTGTTCGTTTCCAGTTGTAATATACTAGTGCTGGATCCATGATCTCTACTACACAATCTGGCAAAGATGCCTTGACAAAATTTTGAAGGGTAAGACCATCTTCAAACAAGTCATTGGTAGGCTGCTTTCCAATAAACATCTCCAGCAGGACGATTCCAAAGCTGTAAACATCACCAGATGGCGATGGCTGACTTCCTAATCCGTACTCTGCAAGACAATGTTTTGCTTAAGTTACATGAGAAGTGGTGTTCAAGCATGTAAAAGAACTTAAATCCTCTTCAAGCATCAAGCAGGAGATCTAGTGGTGAAGTGGTACTGCTCTCTGCAGTGATTCTGATCTCATTATTTTTTTAGCATTTATCCTTGCAAGGAGATGCATGAGTTTGTAGCGTTAAAAGAAAACTCTTATAGAAGAGATAAAATTTCCCCTAATTCTAATAGCCGAAGATTAGACAAAAAAAAAAAAGAGAAAAGGCCAACTGAATTTTATGCACCCATTTTTTACATTATTCTGCTGATTGATGCACATATTATCTTGGGATAGGTCAGTGCTTCATTCGCAAGACAACCATTTCTCAATCAATCAGCATTACAGATAGAAGATTTGTGCTGAAAATATTGCTGGTCATCCTGACGACAAGATGATGAAATAAATATCTTCTAGTCATAACAGTCATATGTTATCTTTCATTTTGTATGGATGGAGGAAAGTGAGGGATGGGTTGCAGGGAAAGACCATAAATCAGCACTGCTAAAAAACCATATATACCTGGAGCTGCGTAACCAAGGGTTCCTTTCACAGCGGTAGAGCTAGATTGATTCCCTGAAATATTTTCTACTGGGAGGAATTTAGCTATACCAAAGTCTGCTACATGACCAACCATTTCACCATCCGATAGAACATTGCTTGGCTTGAGATCACAATGAGTTACAGGATTATGACATTGATTGTGAAGATAGTCCAGCGTTGAAGCAATGTCAATAGCAATGTTTGTAACACCCCGAAAATTTTAGAATAAAATTTTTATTTTATATGCTATATTTTAATATTTTGAAAAAGGTTAAATCATATCCCTCCACCATCATCAATTCATTCCTATTGAGATGTGCACGTGTAAGGTATATAATATATGTTATATAAGCCATGTTTACTCTTATCTTTAAGATGATTTGATCTATCTAAATTTCAGGTCCAACCAATCATTATAACAAATTCAGTTTTTTTTTTAAGGTGGCCGTGTATGATAGAAAATTGATGGATATTTGAAATTTAATTCCAAACAAATTCTTATCAAATTGGATAGACACGATTTTCATCAAAATTATACTATGACTCAACTACTATTTTTTTTTTACTATAAATAGTATGTCAATGTCCCACAATTCACTACCACAAAATTTTACACAACAGTTTTCATATAAAGAAGCTGTAAATTCTAAGTATATTTTTATTATCAAAAACTTGTTTGATCAATCAAGGTAAGATACTTTTTGTGCAAGTTGTTTGTTTCCTTATACTTTTATGTTCAATAATTTATGCATGAATTGTCAGTGGACCTTTGGATTCGACCTAACGGAATGTGAACTCT